GTTCACTTACATCAACAGGGAACATATTTAAGAGTCTATTAGTCAGTAAAGCAGCAGAGTAGGCCATGCCTTCCATATCCTTGGTTTTGAGATAGCCCATTTCAGCACCCAGAAGCCTCAGGTAGATCATAGCCTCTGGGTTATCCTGAACCTTCAGTTTCTGGATGAGCTTGTTAACATTATTCATTATTTCCTTGACGATGCTTTGAGGGGCCTAGAATGAGAAAGGTACGTGAGTGATAAACCGAATCAAAGAAAGTTCTATAAATGTAGCAACATTTTGAAATGTAAAAGACCTGTTGCATTTTTATGTTATCCCATAGGGTTGGGAACATGCTCTGCATAATGTCATTGCCCCTGGGCACTTGATCAGCTGCATAGTTAATGGTCTTCTGCATGGTGTCACGGAAGAATCCATCAATGCCGATTAGGGCATCAACAGTGGGTTCCAGTCCCTTACCATTCAACCCGATCTGTAAGAACAAAAAATAATAAGATATCAATATAAAACTAGAGAAATACTAAAGGAGAACATTTAAAAATGTAGAATAATCTTGTACCTCAAACATGTCTATGTCATATCCAAAAGCATTCAGGGTCATCTCCAAGATAACTTCATTGGGCAGAAGTTCTTCAGACTCGAAGATCACATTTCCCTCTAGAGAGCCAATCTTGTAATTGCGAGAGTACTTCGCTGGATCTGTGGAAGTTCTGATCTCATTCCCTTGGAGGGCATTGAGAATCTTCTCTCTAAGTCTGAGAAGCAGAAGAGAAATTAGCTAGAGTTTTTATACTAAAGATGTTAAAATGTATGAAGATTTCTACTAACTCCTTAGTCTCAGATGCTGTGGAGCTCAGGATGTTGCTGATATGTGAGTTAACAAAGCTCATAGCCTGACAGTTTTCATTTTTAGGCAGAGTAGCAACCAGCTGAGCCAGTTCAGAGGGCTGAGGGTCCTTCATCACAATGAGATATGCAGCAACACGCTTCTGTATGGGAGCAGCTCCATCGAAAATGACCTTCATTAACACCTCTCTACCCTGTTAGAAATAGCAAATTTATGTTAGCCAAACATACATTTATTGTAAATATTTTAGATTTATTTAAAATTACATTTATTATTTTATTTAGCATTTTTAATTGTTTCAGTTAGGTAATATATCTGGTTTACCTCATCAGGGACAGAAGTGAGTCTAAAAGCTTGAATAGCAGCTTGCTGGACCTCAGGGGATGCAGCAGGTTGGTTTATGCATTGGATAATTGCTGATTTCAGAGCAGGGCTTGCGGCTCCGACTGCAGAAGCCATGTTTCCAATGACCTTAGAGATTTCATATACAGATTTCAGTATCCACATATCAGCTGTTATTTATAACTTGGTGAAGCATGCTTAATGGAATAGGTTGAACATACCCTCAGGGCCAGGTACACATGTTCCTGATCGCCTGTGCAGTCGCTGATCTGTTCAAGGGCGTAATCGGCGACTCCCTGAATCTCAGGGGTGACTCTTCCTTCAGCTTCATAGAGCCTTGGATAAGGCAGATGAATAAACATTAAATTCTCATATATTGATTCAATACCATGACTACTGTTGACTTGTGCTTGTTTTCTCACCTCCTGACAGCATTGCTTAGAGCATAGTAGATGGGCTTGCTATCCTTGAACTTTGCCACCTTCAACATTTCCTCAACAAGGCTTCTGGATGGGTTGGGAACCATTCCCATGGCATATACTGCAGCATCGATCTCTACTGAGGATCGGTCAAAGGTCCTGAGAACCTGCAAGACGGCAGTGGTGCATTCTGGCGTGCCACACTGGAACAACGCCTGGTACATCAGGGAGCGAGAAATCTCCAGGGCCTCCGGTAGAGCAGTGCTCAGGCTTTCAGCATTCATTTTGCGGATTGTAGCAATGAGCTTGTGAGCTAGGTGCGCTCTGTTGTGTCCATTGTTGGTCTCAGAAAGGCCAGCCAGTTCCCGTAGAACAGACAGCATGACCTCTTTATCCTTAATTGGATGGACTGAGTCAATGCTTCCATCGAGGTGCAGTGTCTTCATGTTGACTACATCTAGAGGTGGGTAAACAAGAAAACTCCATTAATTAAAATGCAATTACTGCAAACACATGCTAATTTAAGTGTCTGAATGATTGCTTACCGTGTTCAAAGATTCTGTCATTGTGCACAGACACTCCCACCAGAGTCAAGACTTGTTTTCCTACATTAGTAACTCCATACTGTCCTCTGTTTATAATCAGAATGAATTAGCAGATCAATAAATGAGACGGTCAATCAAAAGTAAAAACCCAAGTAGCTGTCAATGAACTCACTTGTAAGAGAAAGGCACAAGCATGTGGTTTTCAGTACAGGAAGCAGAGGTCATATGTTTCTGTGCATTATCAAACTTGTAGTTGCAGGTTTGGCTGCTTGTGATGAGCTGAGCAAGTGGGTAGTGCTGTGTGATGAAAAGACAAGCAAGTTCAAACATTATTGAAGCCATCAGATATCCAGCACACAGTTATTTTGTCTTATTCAAAGACAGGATGACTTACCAAGCCTGTGATAAGGGCCAGTGGACTGGTGTGGTCCTTGACCGGCCTGAAATTGTCACATTTAGACAGGTCTCTGTTGAGGGTGACGTCGGTGGCAATGTCCTCTCTGGCGTTCACGGTGTAGCCTGTCTTGCACATACCGTAGATAGTGGGCTGGTTTTGGGAAAGAAGTCATAATGGATTAGTCGATGCATATCAACCTTTTAACAAATGTAAACTTTTTGCAACATTTTAGAGTTAATGACTGACCATTCTTCTGTTTCTGTCCTCCTCCAGCACAGGCACTGCAAGGGCAGAGATTAGACCTCTCTTGATGTTCAAAATATTGACTGGTTCATCATCCTCGGGAAACAAATTGATGTCATCATCTCCCTCAACGGTGAACTTCAGTGGGTTCCTGAGAATCGAGATCAGGGTAGGTGTTTAATATGGTTTCTTCTTATCTGCTCAGAATAACTCTGTTATATCATTCTGTTGGGTATATATATATATATATATATATATAATGTATATTGTTTGGTGTGGAATGCCTTGAGAAATGTACTTCTCCATGGCAGCCTTGAAAGCGTCTGCACCAGCAGATGGCCCAAAGAGAGGATTTCCTTCTGCATCAACATCGATCACCTCACTCAACGTGCACTCCGTTGTGCGCACGATATAGCTGCATGTGTGTGGGACCTCAATTTCAACCTGTTTAAAAAGGAATATGTATGAAATTTCAAGTTTTATGAAGAAAAAACAAACAAACAAAAAATTATTGGCTGTGTCGACATTTATACCTTGCATCTTGCTTTGGGGCCATTGGTTGCTCCATTCAGGGCATTTAGAGACTCTGTTTCGTAGGTGTATTCGTACTTGTGAAAGCTCTTGTATCTTTTGGCCACTAGGGGAGCAAAAATCACATCTTAAATCTTTAGTCTACAACATTAGATTTTCTGAAAGGAAAAAAAAACACTCGACTTGACATGAATTGAAGAGATAAATTATAAAAATTAACTAATTTTAATATTACAGTAACACAGAATTTAAAGAAGGATGTTTTCTTATTTGTTTTCTTTTTCCTGATATATATCATTAGATAATATATACCATATAGAATTTCTTATACATAATTTATGTTTTCTTAAAATTAAAACAAAAAAAATAATAGCTTAGCACTTACAAAGGCATGGTAATTCCTCATCTTGAGCATCTAAGGTGAAAAAACAAGGAGTACAATATCGAACAATATCAATCATTATATAATACATATAATAATTAAATGTTATTCATTAAAAACAATAGATAAACTTAAAATATAATACCAAAAATAACTGATGAATAAATTATGACAACATAGACAAGACTATCATTTTTATTTTTATCATCTATCATTTTATTGGTATCATCAACATTTAATATTCTTAATGTCTGTTTATCAGCAGTTACTAATACTGATGTAATATAATAAAAAATACATATTTTATAGAAAATAAAATTTTTGTATTTTTTCCATAACTAAAAACAAATGAGTACTACTAGAACTGAAACATGAAAATAAAATATATCATAAAACAAATTGCACCAGTCACAAATGTTTCTATTAAATCTTTAGTAGTACTTACTTGTTAAGGCTATTCCACTTAGAAGCAACAAAAGGCAGAGCTTAGTGTCCCCCATAATGGGTTCAGTTAAGCCCTTTCCTTAAGACCGTTGAATATTCAGATGTGATGTGCTGTATTACTGCTGTTAATGGCTTTATATATTAAGGCAGTTCCTGCAGGAATGGGAGGAGAGATGGCAGCTGTAAAAAGTGAAGTCCCCACTCCAAAGTTCATATCTTATGCCTCTGTGGCAGGACAAAGGCAACTATTTCATGTAATGTCAGTGGTCTTTCAAACAGAGAGAAAATGCTTTTTCAAAGGATGTTTGGTTTGCCTGATCTGTTGATTGGTCAGTTGATTAATTTCCTATTTTGTTTATTTGTTTGTTTAGTCATCCATGTAACCTCTATCTTATTGATATTGTTTTTATTGAACTATTTTTTTTTACTATTTGATGTATATTCAGAAAAAGAACACTCCTTTACATGACTAAAAATATAAAAAATATTTAAACGTACCTTTTGAATTATTACAGTAACATCTCTACAACTTCCTCCTGGCTCCTCTTGCGATGTAATGTGATGGCAGGAAGCCTGTCTTTCTTTCATGCCTTCTTACTTATGATGTTGCAAAGTAGGACATTAAGCACCAAACTAGATGAGGTCATATAACTAATCTTGGAACCGACATATTTATTTGACTACATTTTATTTTGACATCATTTGCCAAGGGTTTTGCCAATCAGACATGACTAAACTGATACTGGAATAAATGATTAAACCTTCTGCCCTTTTGTCCTGTTTACTTTATCCACTAACCTCTTATTTTGTGTTATGAGTAAATACTATTCACTTCAGTCCTGACAAGTCTTCTTGGGTACACAGAAATTTATTTATCAAAGGCATTTATTTTTTGATTTCGGGAAAGCTATTCAAGCAGATTGTTCTAGAATTGGTCCCTAAACATCCTTATAAGCATCACCAGGTATTGTGATATAGAACATTATACATATTTTCCCTGTAATGCTTGTTATTGATTACTTAAAGGTGTGTGATCACAAAATTCATTCAATTCTATTTTTGTGATCACACACCTTTAAGTAATCAATAACAAGCATTACTTAAAGGTGTGTGATCACAAAAATAGAATTGAATGAATTTTGTGATCACACACCTTTAAGTAATCAATAACAAGCATTACAGGTGTGTGTGATCACAAAATTCATTCAATTCTATTTTTGAACACTGTGTTCATTGTGTGCCAACTAATGTTATGAAGCACAGCTTTTAAAAAAAGAGAAATGCTATCCTCATTCTCTATAAAAGCATTAGGCAAGACATTCAATCTGCATAGGCCAGCAGCCACATGAATCTTTAACCTGTGTATTTGAATATGTCTCTTTGTAAAAAAGAGAACATGTATGAATTAATGCACTGCACTGATCAAATTGTCATTGATTTATATTAAGTTTGTCATGTAGTCTATGTCTTCTATGACGTGGAACTAATCATGCACTCATTGAGAGTCTCCAGTCAAGGCTCCACACTAATCCTAACCCTGAGAAGATACCATTTTCTCTATTAGGGCAACTAACAATTTGTATAAAAATGAGTTTTTTCTTTTTTGCAAAAAGTCTTAGAGTTGGAAAAAGAGAGCACATGCACAGCAACCCCGTTTTATCATGAATACTTGTTTAAAAGTCCACTGACATATCAAAGTTCAGATATTGACAGATTTGCCTTTACTATCTTACATAAGATGAAGAGAAGAAAAGTTCACTGATTATGTCTGGACATTTATTTCTCATTATAGTGCGTTTACAAAAATACAGGAAAATAATGTGTAATATATACATATTTAAAATAATGAAAATAAAAGCTGACCAATGTCCCTGTCTGCACAAACTATTCTTTTGCATTATATGGTTTATGCCAGTGTCACTTTGGGATCTTGATGCATCTTGTAGAATCGACTCTTTTTTTCCTGTTGAAATGTTCTTTTAGGATTTTCTTAGGCTGCTTTTGATCTATGTAATGCTTTGATCTACATA